ACAGCCCTTGGATGTCCCAAATCCTACTAATTTGTACATTTATTTGCTCTATTTTGGTTTGAAAGACAAGACTTTTGGCTGAAATGGTACACTATTTTAGTTAGGAGCATCAAATGATGATTCCACATGAGCACAAAGCAAACAAATAATTTTTACAATTCTTATTGCAAAAGAATTCATTACTTTTTGCACCTGAATATGATTTCTTTATTCTGGGCCCCTCTCCATAAATGGCAGTTGGTTAATTGAAAAATCAGGCATGCTACAGTTTGGGGGCCAGAAGCAATTTTCATGATTATTTTGCTCCAGCTACTAGAATACTGGATTTCTTTCTAATTCCATTAGAATTAAGAATTTATTCTTTTATTTGGGAAGGTGATTTTTCAAGCTTATGGTATTGCATCTTGATTACAGGTATTTGTCAGTTTGACGGGGCTGAGTTTGGTTCACTATTAAATGGTTTACCTAATACCAGTCTCTGCCTTCAGAAGCCAAATGTCCAATATGCTTGTGAAATTTATTTAGTATTTTGTCCTTTATTTATTTTATTATTATTATTTCTTAAGCTTTTACTTAAATTCCAGTTAGTTAACATATGGTATAATATTAGTTTCAGTGGTACAAGTTAGTGATTCAACACTTCCATATATCACCAAGTGCTCATCACAGCAAGTGCACTGCTTAATCCCTTCACCTATTTTACCCATCCTTCCACCTAGTATTTCCACTTACCCATAGGCTCTGGTAGTTGTAGTCAAGGCAGATCATATAGTTTTAGAGAATAATGGATTAGCCTTGATACAAAACAGATACAAACTATGAGCTGTGCTTACCTGCCTCCTGCTGTTACCTCTCGCTGGGCCAGGCCTTGAGCAGTTGAGATTTGGTGATAGCAACCCTGATACATGTCTTTTTTTTCTCCTTGGATTTAAGATGAGAGGATATTGAGGGTGTGTGTGTGTGTGTGTGTGTGTTCTGATTTCCAGGTGCAGAACTGTAGAGGTTTTGTTTCCTTGAGGTTTTACTGAGTTCCTAAAGAATTTTTAATCTATTTAATAATGTAGCCTCATCTTAAACACAAAGGTAAGGGGCACATTTCAGTAATGAAATCACAAATTCTCTTCACTTTGCATGACCTTCCTGAGAAGTTAGTTCAATATGTAGGAGAGCAGAGAAATTAGCCTGACTTATTCAGGTATGGATTATCTGATATGGTTATTAAATCATGATTGGGACAGAGCAATAGAAGTTTCAATTTCAAATTATGCATCACTTTAAACAAACTTTATTGAAGCCTTTACTGCATTAGCCCTAATTATTCACAATGATGATGCAGTGCTCGCTTGAATCAGACCCAGCTCTGTGGCCAGGGACTGTGGCTGATCGATAGCTATTGAGCAGTTTGATCACGAAGGCTGACCTGCTTGAGCACCGGTGGCAGCCATGGCCATCCCTCCCTCCCAGTAGCTCACAAACTGACATGTTCTCCGTCTGGCCTCCCTCTCCTGCAGCTCATCCTCTGCCTCTTCCTCCAAATCAATAACTTTATAATCAGCATGCTTCCCAGACTCTGAGAAGCTAAAAAATTGCCTTAAACAAAACACACACACACACACACACACACACACACACACACACACCCTACCCACCCATCCACCTGCCCCTCCATATATCTACACTCAAGCTAGAAAAGACATGTTTTCAACCTCTGACCCACATCCATTTCTTCCATGTTATAATGTTTATAAAATAAGGTAGAGAATGTTTTGTTTGTTTTTTGAACAAAGATCACCTATTTAAAAAAATACTGTGAGGACTCTAGCCTGATTATTTGGCAAGTATTTACCAACAGCCTACCACATGTCCATCAAATGTTTCCCATTTGATGGTTAACTCCCATGATGAAGCATGTTTTTCTCAGATGTCTGCCACCATGTCTGGTGCTGTATAAGCACACAGCTACTGTTTCACCATGATTCATTACACTCAGTGATTAATTATTGAGCATCTACTATGTGTCAGGGGGCATACCAGATACATTAGCATTCATTACTTGAAAAGGAAAGGAATTTCTAATTACTTGAATTCTTTCAGTACATTTTGTATCTCTAGACATGACTTCTTAAAATAATTTTGCTTTCTAAGACACTTAGTTTTATGCTCTTTTCCTCTTTTCCCCCACTTTGCACTTGTCTGGGTCTTCAAAACCACTCTGTAGAAATGACCTATTGAAAACAGACCAGAAGTACTTCCAAATTACCTTGCTTATAGCGAAAGATGAAAAAGAGACCCTAAATAAAACAAAAATGAAGTGAATTGTCTCAGCAGAAATATCTATGACTAATGCACAAGCACACAATTGAATGACATCAAACCAAGATACTGCTTACTAACTTTCTACTGTGTGTCTGTGTATGGTTAAAGCATCAAAAGATGAGTTTCACTTGCTATTCCCTAAAAGAAGTAGGAATCCATAATTAGGGAGAAAGAAACCTGCCTTTGCTCATGTTGGGCCCATGACAGAAGGGAGAATCCACTGGAAATCAGGCAATAAATCAAGAAGTTTGGGTTCCAACCAAATTGCATGACCTCAGGGCAGTCTCTGAATCTCAGGAGCAATCATGTGTGAATCACATATGAAACAGGGTGTTGGACACGAGCCCAGACTGTGTGACCCTAACTCTCTTAGGTTTGTGGGAAGCCATGTATCTGTGGGGAGCAGAATCTAAGGAAGGTCTGGCCTCCAGCACCTGGAGAGATCTCTGGCTTGTGTTCTCCCAAAAGTTCTGCTTAGCAGCCTGAGACCCGGAAATGGACCAAATCTGAAATTCTCATGAGGGTCTCATTTTAGCACTGCCAAAAATAAACAGCCCATTCCTGCATCCTGAAACAGGAGAGCTTTGGCTCAGCTCTGATTACCAGAGAAGCAGGTTTAAAAGTTTAATACTCACCTGTTTCTAAGCCTGTTTGGCCTACTTGTAAATGACTGGGGATGCAAATTGAGGAGGGGAGCCTGTGAAAGCATGGGGTCCAAAGAATACACTCTCTCACTCTGAATAGAAAGAGCTGAGGGGAAGAAATGGGGGACCACCTGTCTTTTGCCCCTGGGAAATATCTGTGCTTGGCAAGCAAAGGCAGAAATATACAGGCTAATTTCTAAATCCATAAACGGAGCTCTCCAGAGCTTAACCAACAAGGTTGGATAAGTAATTATCTGGGTGGATAGCGTGGACTCCAACCCAAACCTTTCACTCCAGCCAAGTGGAGTTCTGGGCTTGGCACCCGCTCCCACATCCAGGACCATGTCCACTTTGCTCCCTCTGCCTGGACACCCTCTCGCAAAGGCTCTACCATCCTTGGGTCAAGTATCAGGGTAGCTTCTCCCTCACTCACCCACGACCTTCCCTCTGACCTCTCCCTGTTCTCATTGCAGGCACCGTTTACCTGGCATTTCCACCAAGAACTTCTCACTTCATGCCTAGCACATGAAAGATGGGTAGATTCACCATCACATCTGAGAGACTCTCCCATCCCTTCTAAGCAAGATTTCCCAAAAGGCTGAGGAGAGAATAGCATTTCCAAGAGATGTTAAGAGCTAGGGCCAGAAAAATGGGTTCTGTGGTCAGATACAATTGTAAAATTCTGTGTCTCTCTTTCCTGGAATGTCACAGTGCACACACTAGTCAATTCAAGGCTCTGAGAAGCCATGTGGGAGGGAAGCGGGTATAAAGCAGCATTCCCTGTACTCTCTTAACTATGCAAATACCTTTTATCACAAGACACCTACTAATGTCTTGCAGAACTCAGTTTGGGAAATGTCACTCCAAATATTTCCTTCTATAGTTTCAATCAGGCACATTTTCTAATTACCAGTAATTTCCATCAAGGAGGTAGGTATGAAGACCAGTTGAGTTCTTTGTTCAAAGCAACCTGCTTAGTGAGAAGATGAGTGTAGAGTGAATATCAATAATGAGTCTTTTCCTGGGGTTCCAATTGTAATAGGCATTTCTAAACACTACAACATGCTTAACATTTACCAGTGCATGAATTCCACAACGGACCCTCCTGTGTGCCACGAAAATAGCAAGCACCTAAATCATGGATTCCACCCCTGAGGTCTGTACAGTTTCGTTGTGAGAAGAAGTTAACAGGGGACAGTTCTGTAGTCTCTGGGTAGGTAGCAAACACCTACCCAGGTGAGACCCTGGGTGCTGTGTGCCTTCAGGGGATGCTGGACCTTGAAGTTCTGTAGGATGTGGGCAGGAGTCAAGGAAGGCTGTCCTCAAAGAAAGGTGTTAAGCCACGTCCAAGGCTTGCTTTCTTGCCAGGAGGGAGAGCATGCAGGGGTGTTGGTGCAGGCACTGGTGGGAGATTATGTGGGGAGCCAAGGAAGGCAGAGCATCTGGGATGTCTGAATAAGGAGTTTATATTTTATCAACTGCCAGTGAGGAGTCTGGTGACTATTGAAGAATTCGTGATATCATGGGGTAGATGAATCAAGGCTTCAGAGAAACTCTGATTATTGACTCCCAACCCCTGTGAGCCAGGGAGCTGATCAAATGCAGTGGCCCACAGCATGGGTGCTGGGCCTACGTTGGCATCCTCACTGTCCACAGGTTTGTGGGGCCAGGCTCTTGATGCCTGGCTTCCTCTTCTGAACTGAAGGCATAGGTAAACCTCACAGGCCTCTTTTAGAAGTCACCTAAAATAACATATTTAAAGCCCTCGATGCAAAGATTAATAAATACATCAAGCTCTCAATGCTTGGTGAGAAGTCATTAATACTGTTATCATTCAGTTGCTCCTCATGAGCTTTTGCCCCCAGGTCCTAAGCTTATCTCTTTCCTTTCTTCCCACTTGAAAACCCAGTAGGGACACAGGCTGAGTATCTATGGGAGGTTGGCTAAGCAGACAACCTAGATGGCACAGCATGTTCCCCGTGGGCCTTCTCTGTGCCCACCTTCATGGGGCTAAATCCGAAGCCTCTGCACAGTGCTCACCTGCATCAGACGTGGCTGCAGATGCAGCAAGGAGTGATAACACCGGGCTCGGTGGGATTGCCACGCTGTCCACTGTGGCTGGCTTCTTCCTGGTCATCATGGTGGACGCAGAGCCCTCGTTCTTACTATGTGGTGCCGTTTGGTCCACTTTTAGGTGGGGACTTGGCATCCCTATGAAAGAATAAACCCGAAGCTTACAGTTACTTGAAGGAATAGGAAAATAGACAATAGAAAACCTAAAAGTGAGCTGAGGAAATTGTTAGAATCACCTGACCTCCTTCTGGTACACCATGAATGAAATTTTAGAACATTTAAAGAGAAAAAAATAAATATTAGCAGCATGACTGGTTTGGGTTTCATGGCTGAGATTAGTGGTGACAACATTCCTTGGTTATGTGGAAGCAGGGGCACAGGCCCAATGGAGCAGGAGAGTCCAGCAGGTATTCCTTTGTCTTCGGTGGGTCAAGAAGCCCATCCCTCAGACATTGTGTCATGTGCAGCATGACGGGGACAAAGGGGCCCCATTCTAGCTTCTCATCTCATCTGACTGGGGACACAAGACTAACGGAGTAAGAAAAATTGGGTGACACATAAGGGCAGGCTTCACGTCCTAGGTGCTCGGGGACCACTAAGGCGTTCGGGATTCATGTGGGGACAAGTGAGGAAAGGCTTTCCAGAGCTCATGCTAAAGCAGCAAGGAAGAGGGAAAAGCTATTCTTAATCCCATGAAGAGAGTACACTAAATTCTGGGTGGGAAACGAAGATGATTCGGACGAGAGGCCAGGCTGCCGGAGCACAAGTTGCATCGTGGGGGCTGCTGTGTAACGATAGTCCCCATGGCCCAGTGAATGTTGATTTGGAGGCTTTTCAGTCTCTGGTCCTAATAAGCATCAGAAATCATGTCTTTGTGATGCCGAAGAGCACCTCTTGTGAAGCGCCTCTGTAAAGGCCTGGAAATGTGCTATGTAACAAATTACAGAGCGATTCTGGAACGTTGCTTTGTAGGCCAAGAAAATCCAGGCTCTCTTAATTTTTAGCTATGTGATCATAAGCAAGTAACTTAACGTCTCCAAGCTTTAAGATTCCTCGGCCTACAAATGGGGTGGAACAGTATAAGCTCACAGGGGTGGCTGAGAGTATCCCTCAATTGATTAATGTAAAGCACTTAGAGCGATGTCTGGCACACCGTCCATGACCTGTAAGTGTGTTCTGTTACTGTTACTCTTACTATTATCACTGTCTGCCCCTAGCCTGTTGCTTCATTGTGGCAACTGGAAGCAGCTGGCAAAGGCTCCCCTCTCTTCCCTGACCCGACCAAGGACCTCTGGGCCCCTCCTATGTCCCCAGCTGCAGAAAAGTGGCTCTCCAACTGGTCCAAGCCTCAGGCCAGAGGCTCAGGGTGTCTGAATCTGAATGTCAAATGGTCAGCCACACAGAATTCTTCATTTCTAGGCTACCCGCCACTGAGAGCAACAACAAAAAGGGCTTTATCACAATAGCCCTTGACCCTTGTTCTTCCAACCCAACCACTGTGAAGTGATTCAGTCCTCTCCCAGAGTAACGTTATGTTGCTGCCACCATGAAAGCAGCTCAGATGGGGCTGGTGGCAGCCCTGTGAAGTGGGTAGCACAGAGCGACTAGTTTCTTAATTTTACAGATGAGGAAAACACATTTCTGAGAGGTTATGAGATAACTAACTAAACTCACACAGCCCTAATGTTAGGGCTGGGAGTCTGCAAACAGCCAGATGCTAAATCCTTGGCCTGTGGATCATCCTGTCCTAGCTGGTCGTCTGTTAACACCTGTCTACCGCCCTTGTCTGCCGACAGCACCGTTCACATCAAGCATGCCTAGGCACTAGCCTCACACCTGGAAAAGGCACCTATAACCACCTAGGGAAGAAAGTCATATTGACATTTTCATTTACCTACTATGCCATCCCACCCTCTGAAACCATCGCCTCTTCTGTTGTGAATAATAATGCTGTTTATACTTTTTGGATTTTATATTTCATAGCATTTTGACAGTGGAGGTAGACAGACATCAAATTCGGTGACAGAAAGATTGCAAGGCATCAAGAAGCCAGGAAGGGCTGCGAATGTGGACAGCCTGCCCATTTGTGAAATATGCAGGTGTGTCAGGGATGGGCGAGGCACATCACTATAGTACATGTAAAATACACACAGAATCACCCACCAGGAGATACATCCAAACGGGTAACAGTTGCTATTCTCAGGAAGGAGGCAACAGGAAAGTTCGGTGAGGAAGAGAGAGTTTTTACCTTTACTCCCTTAGCCTTCTTTATTGTTAATTTTTTTATTGTTAATATTTTTATTGTTAATATTTTTAAAGCCACACACATATTAAACTTTGTTTCCTTTGAGAAAGTTAGCAGACTTGTGGGAAAATCAAGAAGTCTACGAGAGCACAGGCTTTGGGGCAGAATGCTATGCTTGGACAACTGGCTGCAAACAACCTCAACTGGGGACAGCAGGCCTGAGTCTGATGAGAGTCCCCCAGTTTGGTATGCCATGCCATTGGGGTCACGCTCCCCTTGAACGAAGGCAAGTGTGCCTTCATGGCACACCTCTGCAACTCCAAGCCACCACAGAGTTCTGTTGGATAACAGCTCCTCTGGAAAAACCCACTGATATGTCATCTTTGTACCTGTGGACACAGGTTGGGAAGGTAATTCTTTGCCCAGATTATGACACAGACCCATTTAGGGAACAAGCTGCAAACAGGATTAGCAGGAGGATATTTAACTCTCACTTGGGAACAAACTGATTTCAAGTCATTTTTGTTGTACCCATTTTCATGCAAATGTTCACAATCCAAATTAGTCTCAGTCCACATCATTTCATTAAAGTTCATTCGATCATACCTCTATTGGGCATACTTTGCTATTCAAGTGTTTATGTTAAAAGTAATAAAATGACACTTAAGAACTCTATAATTCAAATTGTCACTATTAGCTGTCTTGAAAACCCTCGATAATTTAGGATTTTCTAGATTATTGTACTGTTTGTCAGTTGCCATCCAATGAATTTGAAAAGCAATTAGGAAAAAAAGAAAAAAGAGCCCTGATGTTTTCTCAGACATTTTTGGGTTTTGAAAGGATTATGGAAACAATCCCAGAAATAGCATACATGAGCAAGTATATTAGATAAGCTTTCAACAAGGACTAATCTAACAGCACTTGGAATCCACAAAATCTGCCTGAGAGCAGAGGGCTTGGGGTACTGGAATGGGTGACTCCTCCCAGGGACACAGCACTGGGCAGGCTGGCCACCAGAAGTGTTTGTTTCCCTTCATTCCAGGCGGCAGCTGATGCTCCACGGAGAGGTGCCGAAATGATCGGACATAGTTCTCAGAGACCTGACATGAGGGCAGAATGCTGGGACATTTGGAAAGTTTCTTCCCAGCATGGCCCTAGCTTTCCATCTCTCCATGGGAGGGAGACGTGTGAAGCTGGAGGCCCACCAGGATGAGACCTAGAGATGGCGTTGTGCTGACTGGACCACGGAGCTATGTTACTTCAACTAACCCTGGGACCTGAGTCCAGATGAGCATAGCTTTGATGTGGGACAGGATCACTTCTCAACCTCACATAGCAGACTGTGGAGAGCACATACGGGGTGTGGGTCCAGCACATCCGTAAACCCCAACACGGAACAGATTGTACTCAGGCGTGCATATTTGGAGGCCAGTACATTTTTTAAAGGAGGAAATAACAATGCTAATAACTATGTGGATCCAACATCTGTTCACAATTAAAAGACAGAACCAAGAGGAAATATTTTTTAAAAGTTAAACCTATAGGAAAACATTCTGCTAATAACCTGTTGACCTCTATTGATACGTTTTTTAAAAAGCCTTTGAAACTGGGCTGTGGTGTATCGAGGGACAGTCACTCATTTTCAAAGGTAATTTCTCATAGACCACTTATCCCCTCAAACCTCTACCTGCACACCGTGTTTGCATTAGGGACTTGATTTATGGATTCCCACTCCTCCGATGCAGAAGCTGACTTCCTGTTGCCTTGGTTACTTGGAGCTTAGTTCAAGGTTAAAGTACTCCCAAATCAGTATCAGTGGCAGGCGCTGCATCTAGCGGCCAAGTTATTGACTGCCCCAGGATGCAAAAAGGTCAGAGACCAAAGCACTGTTTACTGCCTTAAGGGTGAGTCAATAGCTTCAATATTTTGATTCTGTTCCTTCCAAAGTAGTAGTTGCTGTTCAATTACCTCTTCCTGGGGTTGTTCAAGGTCACAGGGGTCATGGAGGAAAAGCAGGGTCTGTGTTGGCTGACTTTCCCAGGATCCCTTTAATGAGCTCTGTGACCTTGGATAATAAAAACCAGCCTCACCTTAGAGTAATTTGTATGTTGCTCTAGGTTTACAAAGCCACTTTATCTCATTTTCTTTAGGGGGAAAACAAACAGAAAATCTTTGTAAGATGAGTACTATGTATTCCCCTTTTCTAGATCAGAGAAAGGGGGTCTAGAGAGGGTGCATAACTTATGTAAAATCATACAGTTGGTAAGAGGTGGGGAGATCTAGATCCTGACTCCTTGATGGGTCCTCATGTCACAAGTTCTTTAATATAGAGAGGCTAATGGAATAGTCACCTAGGGATCATATGTAATTCATGTTGTAAGACCCACTATAGAGAGCAGTAGATCTAGAAAATACTATGTAATTAATATAGGCTTGTTGAACACCTTAATTAATATTTTAATTATATGATTTGCAAATGCAATTGTTTCCTGGTGACAAAGCTTAGACTGGAATAGTGGGAGAGCTTGACACCACTGAGATGGTGGTTGGGTTCATCAACCACCTCTCTGGCCCCCTTCACACTGCAGAATGCAGGGCTTGGCATGCACTGGGAGGTATATTATATTGAGCAGTCAGTGGCTTTTAATCTTCCAAAGAGCTTTGACATACATAATGCTATTTGCCCCTTGCAGCATCTCTGTGGATGACAAAAGGCAGATGGTAAAACTCCAAATACATAGATAAGGAAACTGAGCCACAGAGGACCAGATGATTTGCCCTAACTCACATATCATGTGTGCCGAAGTGGTGCAGAAATCCATGCTTCTTGACTCAATTCAATGTTCTTTTCTTTCCCTTTTGGGTCAACAGTAAATGCCATATTTTTGCACAA